CCCTATTGTAACTAAGGTCTTTAGTCTTTCATTATGTCTTTTAACTGGTTGTTCATATATGTATATAAGCTATTTGCTTCTATATATTTATTTTATGGAAACATGCCATTTATAAAAATTTAAAAGTATATGTCTATTATAATAGAAGGCAGTGTGCATAATGGGGGTCTGAAGTATGTGAACTTGATTCCATCATTTATTGACACTGTAGCAAAAAGCATGCTACTTAATATATATATACATATTTTTTTTTAGAGCGGGAGGGAGAAAGAGAGAGCGAGTGAGTGTGAGTGTGGTGGGAAAGGGCAGAGGGAGAGGGAAAGAGAGAATCTCAAGCAGCCTCCACTCTCAGCATGGAACCGGACTCGGGCTTTAGTCTCATGACCCTGAGATCATGACAGGAGCTGAAATCAAGAGTTGGACACTTAACCAACTGAGCCACCCAGTCAGTTTTCTCATGCGTAAAATGGGATAATAGTACCAATTTCATAAGGCAGTTTTGAAAATTAAAAAGATAAGGCACAAAAACACTTAGTAGATTGTCTGGAACATAGCAAAGGAGTCAATAAATGTTGACTACAATAGTTCTGTCCTCTTACCAGAATTCTTAACCATTGAAGCTTAGATGTAGTCCATGGGATCAGATTAGGAGCAGACTTCAACCTTCCCAAACACTCCTCTTCACTCCACACTCACCACAGTTCCCAAACCAAAGGGCTGTAGAGTGGGGTGAGGAGAATGGGGAAATGGAGATGGAAGGGTGGAGGCCCAGTTATACCTTTATTGTTGTAGGAAAGGAATGAAAGTATTCCTTGGTGATGTGCATTTGGGGGGGTCCAAAGAAATCAAAGGAGGAGACACATGTTAATGAACAAAGCAGTAGAAGTGGACAGAGAACTTTTGTCCAGTGGTCACCTTAAATTTGTAGGTACTTCATAGCTTACCGGCCATTTTTACATACATGTATCATGAACCCATATTTACAGCCACTCACCCGGGGCCCGTGAAGGGGTATTGGTAATCATAGGGAGCAGACTGTGGTGATGTGGGGGAGGGTTGGAGAAGCTGGTTCCGGATGTGCTGACCCCTATTCTAGAGCTCATTCCTCTTCATATCTCTCTTCATTTACCTCATAATGATGCCTATTTGGGTCTAAGCACTAAATTATCAGCAGAAAAGACAGAAGACAAACTGGAAGAGGAGAAAGCCAGAGGGATTAAAATATTTTAAGGAGAGAGACTGAGAGAGCATAGGGATTGAAATGAGTATTAGTGTTTGCTGAATATCTCATGGGCAGAATTCTAGGGGGAACTACGTTAGGATCAGCGTAATAATAGCTACTATGTCTAAAGTGGCTATTGTGTGCTGCCTGTTTTATGTGCATTTTTCCTTTTATTCCTAACAACAATCTTCCAAGGCAGGTGTTATTAAGCCAATTACACCACGTGTCTAGAAAGCAAGGCCTCATTCCTCTTGGAGCTTAACATCTATGTACTAATTGGAGAAGACTTGTAAAACATACATACAGGCGTGGACATAGGAGCTCACGATCATGGCAGATCAGGAAGGGAATCTTGAGGAAATCAGCCAGACAGAGCCAGTGGAGAGAGTTCTGGAGAAAACGGGATGTGATCAATGAAAGGAGGGACATTGTTTGCATTTCTGTAATAGGAAAACAGGACCAAACAGAAGAAGGGAGAAACCTGCGGGGCAAGTTCAGGGGGCAAGGAAGCAGCAAAAGCTTCCTGCAGGTAGAGTTAGGGATGCGGATGAAATGTGGATTAAATTCACTGCAGTAGAAAAGAGATGCTTGAGTAGGCAGGCTGCTTCTAACTGGGAAAGTGCGGTATCAGCTACTTAACCCGCTCTCCCACTGCTGCATCCTTTTTAAAGTGACAGTCACGAGGCTGCGGGATTCGGAAGCGGAAATGGTCTTTGCTCATTGGCTCACAATCTAAATTCAGACCGAAAGAATGTGGTTGGAGACAGCTGGTGGAAATTGTCCCAGTCCTGTCTTCAGTGGAAATGTCCACGTGCTGCTCGTGTCTTCCCTTACCTAGCGTCTCCCTCTCTCCATCCCTCCAGGTCCGCCTGTTTCTCGTTATCAGGTTTTATAAAAAAGTAATCCACCCGGCACTCTGTACTGGAGTGGTCCAGGGACACCCATGCTTAACTCAGCGCTACTGGCTGCCTCCGTGATTAATGCCAGCTACTCGGGTGGTTTATGAGCAGTGACACTTCCTCCCGGGCTTCTTGTATCTGCCACTCAGCAGTTAACGTTAAAGCCCACCGTCGATGTGACTGCTGTAAATACCACAGGGCAGGGCTCTGGTGCTTCATAAACACGTAAGCACGACGCACGGAGTCAGCCCGCGGACACCCAATGACCTGGGACTGCGGCAAAGGGGTGTGGGAATGGCAAGAAGGGAGGACCACCTCGCCCCTCTCCTTCCTCTTTGCTGGGGTCCAAGCACGCCTTCCGCCCCGGGGGCAGCGGAAGGTCGTCGCTCCAGGTCGCCGGCACGTCCTGTGCCCGAGATATCTGCAAATTCATGACTCCCTTTCGTCTTCCGGCGAAACCCTTTCTTCCCTTGTGGGGCCAACCCCTGTTCTTCACCTCCAGCCTTTAGCCGACTACTGAGGCTCTCCCTCTCCCACTCCCCCAAAAGGCTGGTTCCCTTTCCCACCACAGGGGTCCTGTCTCTGCTTCCACTTTGCTTCCCACTCGCATGTCCTGCAGTCTGGAGATGTGCTCAAGTCTCGGCAACTTTCACCATTTTGACCCGAGAGTCGGGCCATTTCTAAGACAATGTGAACAAAGAGGAGCCAGGAAGAGAGGGGCCCGCGGGCGGGCTGCGGGGCTAATGTGTGCGCGCCTGGGTGTTGGGGACCCGGGGCGATGAGGGCGCCGCTCATGGGATCCCGGAGCCTGCGGGCTGTCCCGGACACAGAGCGCACAGCCTCCGGGCTTTTGCGCCGGCCTGGCCCGGTGGGGCGCCTGGAGGCCCGGGGTGGCGGATTTCTTTGTCCCGGCCTGTGGCTGGGCGCGAAGGCAGCCGGCCGCGAGGAGAAAGCCGAGCCTGGTCTTCTGAGCTCAGGCTTCCACTTGCGGCCCCGCGCGGCAGAGCAGGAAGGAGCGGCGGCGGGCCCCAGGGCGCCCCCCCGCCCCGCCCCGCGCCCACTCTCCTGCTCTGCGGCGGGCTTCAGACCATGGTGGGGGAGACACTGGAACTCCTCTTTCGCTTCCCCAACAGCGAAACAGGCTGAAACAGCGAGGAGTGGCACAGCTCTCCCTAATTAGCCTGGTTGGGGGAAAGAGAGAGCCCACTGGCGCACTCTTCTCCACCCCGACTCTCCAAAGATGCGCGCGCTAGTCGAACTCGGGGACAGTAGCGGTTCTCTGGCGCCCCCCCTGCAGACTGCACCGCGGCGGCCGGGACCCAGGCGGCGGGGCTGGACCTAAGCATAGCCCCAACGGATGCCATCAGGAAGCTCGGAACAAAACGGTGGCAACATCTGCCTCTGGGTTTGCGTGCGTGCGTGCGCGCGTGAGTGTGTGTGTGTGTGTGTGAGAGAGAGAGAGAGATGCAGAGAAAGAGAGAGAGATGCAGACACACACACACACACACACACACACACACACACACACACAGGACACACACACACGCACACACGCTGGTTCACATCCACCCGGCTTACCTGCAGTACAGTTTGCGCTTCTGTGTGTGTCTGGCAGAAGAATGAAAGAGAAACTGCCGTATCCATTCAAGCTCACTGAATCAAGCCCACTTCCCTCCAACTCTTTCAACTAAGTTTTATTTTATAATGCACTTCAAATTACAGAGTCCTTGTGAAAACTAGTTTGCCAATTGTAGTCTGAACCTCCATCAATGTATCGAGCAAGATTTTAGGTTACCAGATTCAGTTCCGCGGGACACTCAGGGCTTCTGCCTCCTGCCTCTCTCCATGCATCTTTGTAAAGCAAGTGTATCGCGGCTGTCCCCCAGAAGTCTCGTGCTCTGGCACGCTGCGCAGGGCCTGCGGCAGAGCGGCGCGGCTGGTGAAGGCGGGCGCTAGGACCGCGGGGAGCCCGGGCGGCCGCGGCGCTACCTTAAACCCAACCCAATGCCGCTGCCTGCGCCACTCTGCGCGCCGGCGGGGGCTGCGCAGGAGGAGCGCTCCGCCCGGCTACAACGCTCCGCGAGCCGGCGCGGCAACACCTGTTCGCGGCAGCCAGGGCGGCACGCGAGCTCCCGGTCGTGGCTCTCCTCGCTCGCCGCTCGCCACTCGTTCTAAGCCAATGGACATCTGCCGAGCCTCTGGAGAATTCTGGATACTAGCTTTGGACGCCTAAAGTTTTTTCTTCTTTTTGTTTTTTTAAAATAATTATTATTTTTGGAGGGGGAACCAGAAGGGGAGATTTTGTCGCCGCCGCCAACGTGAGATTTTTTTTTTTTTTTTTTTTTTTCTCCCCTTGAAGGATTCGTGCTGATGTCTGCAGAGTCGGTTAGAGTAAAAACAGCGCATGCCTTCCTGGAGTCGGGATCCGTAAATTCTGACGTAGCCCGTGCATCTTAAAAATCCCTATAATAACGCCTAGGCATTTAAGTTGCTATGGTCATTCTGATCTCAAACCAAATGGAGAAACTACGGATTTTTTTTCCTTATTACGGTCGGATGGGATGAAGACCTTCCTGCCTGCTAAGAGCTGGGGATCTATCTATAGAGATGCATAGATATGTTTATCAATATGTCAGTGTGTGAGTATAAAGTGGTGGTTTCTTAGACTATCAGTGGTTTGACCTTGAACCTGTGCCAGTGAAACAGCAGATTACTTTTATTTATGCATTTAATGGATTGAAGAAAAGAACCCCCCTTTTTTTTCTCTCTCTCTCTGCAACTGCAGTAAGGGAGGGGAGTTGGATATACCTCGCCTAATATCTTCTGGGTTGATACCGTCATTATTGTTTATTCCTGTGCTCCAAAAGCCGAGTCCTCTGATGGCTCCCTTAGGTGAAGTTGGGAACTATTTCGGTGTGCAGGACGCGGTACCGTTTGGGAATGTACCGGTGTTGCCGGTGGACAGTCCGGTTTTGTTAAGTGACCACCTGGGTCAGTCCGAAGCAGGGGGGCTTCCCAGGGGACCCGCAGTCACGGACTTGGATCATTTAAAGGGGATTCTCAGGCGGAGGCAGCTATACTGCAGGACTGGATTTCACTTAGAAATCTTCCCCAATGGTACTATCCAGGGAACCAGGAAAGACCACAGCCGATTTGGTAGGTATACCATTAACCCTTTAGTGTCCGTGCGATGACATGTTCGGGTTATAACTACCAAGAAGGTGGTGGCCGGGCGGGGGATGTGGGAAGGGAACCTGTCCCTCTGTCTCTGTCTTGCTAGCTAAAAAAAAAAAAAAAAGAAAAAAGAAAAAAAAGGAAAGAAAAGGAAAAGATTTAAAAAAAGAAAGAAAAAAGAAAAAGCCTCGGTAATTGCAGATCTGCCGCTGGCACTGATGCAAGTCTACATTGAAAGCCCCCCCCCCGCGACTTTTTTGAAAAGAGGGCATGATTTATAAATATAACAAAAGTCTCTAGTACTTTTGCATCAGATACTCGGGAAGATCGGGTTTAGGAAGTTTCTTTTGAATGGACTGATTCCACGAGTTTAAAGCTTTAATCATTAACTACTGAGAACTTGAAAATGCATTTTGCTGAAAGCAGTGGTTATCATCTTGTGCCCCAATGAAGTTTTTGCTCCTACTCTTTTTCTTCTAATAAGTATACTGCCTGAATTGTAAATTAAGCGTATTGTTTATTCCCACAGCGAGGGTCTGAAAACCCCGTAGGCGAAGGTGGCTGACTGATTGTTCTGTTGGGAGGACTAAAGTAAAATTTTAGACTCCTAGAGCAGCAGAGGCAGAGGCGCTGGGGGAAAATGACTTAGGAAAGGGCAGAACGCTCACCAGGGGCGTTTGTCCTTGCAGCTATCAAGTTATTACCGATGCTCCATATTTCTATATTGTGCAGCCCTGTGTGGGTTTCCTGGGTGGCTCTTTGGTGTGAGTGTGCACGCGCGTGCAAAAGCTGTGAGCTAATTTTAAAGAGCATCCCGAGGATTTCATTTCCCAAGGAGGGTACTTGTGACTCAGCATTGAGGACTGCAGACCCGAGTGCTGGTGACTCTGCTCACTTTAGTGCCTGCACACACGTGCCTGCGGGGGCCATCCTGAGCCCAGCAGCACAGTGTCAGCGAGCACAATACCGATCGAGGGACTTTCGGGGGTTTTCCTTACTTACCAAAAGGAAAGCGCCAGTTGGACAACCAGACTGTTGGAAGGAGTTAACTTCTCAGTGAACCCACCTGACAACACTTAAACTAGGTCGTAAAAAATAAAGTCCTGTGGTGATTTTTCTTCCTCATGCTTTAATGCCAGATGTTGAACACAGCCTAAACTATCTGTTTAGGCTCGTGGGGCTGTATATGATGCCAGAAGGTGAGGAAGATTCAGGCCTGGAATGGGGATGGTCCCAGATACACGAGGCCCAGGATTTTCTTCCTTTGCTTACCACGAGCCCAAGCCCCAGGCTGAACCTACTAGTGTAAATTTCTGGCAGTCTCCGCTCTGCTTAAAAAAAAAAAAAAAAAAAAAAAAAAAAAGAAAAGGCAAAGCTGTCAATTTGCTTTGCAATTATTGAGTTGAAATATAACGGCACTCCCCACCTCCCCGAAATAAACTCAGCTCTGGTTGTTGCAAAGCGAGGACTAAACTTTACTAGAAGTGCTGTTCTATCTGGCCGCTTTAAGGGCTGCTACAGTGCCTAGCGTTCAGTATCCGAACAACAGGCAGTGGGCGGCCGTGGGTGGGACAGCCGAGTGTGCACCGGGCCGCAGCGGGCACCCGCTGGACGTCTGCACCGCTCAGGCACCGAGGGTTAGTGGCGTGGGCTGGCGGCCTAGGTGCGCGTGGCAGCGGGAGCCCCAATCCTCCCGCGCTCCCAGCCGGCAGGTGCGGAGTCGGCAGCTCGGGCCCCCCGGCGCACTGCGCGGCCGCCGGGCCAGCTCCGCGCGGTCCTAAACACGCTCTGTTTGCGTCCCCCTTTCTAACCGGCTGGAGTGCGCCCTTTGGTGCTGCAGGGACTCCTTGTGTCCGGGGGCGACGGGCTGGGGCTGACACACTTCTGGCCGTGTTTAGGGAATGAGATTTTTTTTGCCCAAGTTTAGTCCCTTCGCTTCCTCTTTGTGTGAGTGTGGGTCCGGCGGGGCTGACAGCCGCCGCCCCAGGCAGCGCGGTTGTTTGTGGTGTGGGAACCGCCGGAGGCGCGCACAGCGGCGGGAGAGTTGGTGGCGGGGACGGAGGACAGGCTGGAGGTCGTACCCCTGACCTCCCCAGTGCTATCTCGGACCCATCTCCCTCTTCTGAAGCACGCAGCCAGGTCTCGGAGAGTCGATGGCTCCGCTGTGCCCGGGAGGTGGGTCGGGGGGCCCCCGCCGACAAGGCCGGAGCCACAGGGGAAGGGGTGGGGGGGGGGACAAAGGGCCGCGGAGGCGGGCGGAGGGGGCGGTGAGCTATTGTTAACGGCGTTCGGGGAGCAGAGCTCGCGGCCCGTGGGCCTGCGTTTCAGCGCCCGGGCTTGGGCCCCGGCCTCTGGGCCAGGGGGTGTGGAGGAGGGAGCGTAGCGGGGTAGACCGCTACAAGGCCGGGGCAGCTTCATTGTGTGCGTTTAGTCGAGCCCTGCCTTGGAGAGAGCGCCTCCGAACCCCGGCGCAGCCCGACTGGGCCCCGGCGTGGAGAGATTATGGGATGTTCCAGTTGGGGTTCCTACACGTTCCCCGCCCCCTACGGGCTTTTTTCCCCCTTTCCTTTTCTTCTTCTTCTTCTTCTTCTTCTTCTTCTTCTTCTTCTTCTTCTTCTTCTTTTTAAATGCAGTCACCTTTAGGGTAAGATGTTTGCTGAATGCAGTCATTAGAAATCCAGTAAGTGCCACTGGGGAGAGTGAGGATTCAAGGGTGGTATTATGGGAACCACGAGGGTGGAGAGAACCCAAGAGGCGAGTTCTGGGGTCAGCGGACAAGGACTGCTGGTCAGCAGCTGAATAGAGATCATAAAACAAAAACTAGACGTCGTCAACCCCTACCCCACCCCCAATCCTGGAGGTTGGAGAAAGGTGTCGCCAAGGAAGTGACATGTCTACTCCTTAGACTCGCTAGGCACTGTTGGCTGGGTTGGTAGGGGCAGTGCGGGTGGGAGGGGAGGAGAGCCCTGGCCCGGGTTGGGGGGAAGGGTCAACGAACAGGCGAGCTCGGGGGTCGGCCGGGAACTGGCTGCGGGGGGGATGGGCGCGCCTGGCGCTCCGCTGTGCCACTCACCCTCGTTTGGATGGAGCTGAGTGGGTGGCTGTGCGCAGTGGGGGTGGGGAAGGAGGGTGAGGCAGGAGGGTTATTTAAGTCTTTCATCCGGTTGCAGAGAGAAGCGGCCCCCGGGGTGACAGCAGTGCCGCGGTCTCCCGCTGCTACCGCTGCGGCAGGTCCCAATATTAGCAACCTCTGCAGCGAGGTGCGAGTGCTGGGAGCCTCCTACTCCTGCTTTCTCAGCCCCGCCCGGAAGGAGGGCTGGGCTCGTCGGCGCTAGGACCCGGCGGGGAGTGCGAGGGGAGGGCCGGGGAGCCAGCGGGCTCCGGGTGGGGGCCGTGGGGCTGCGGCAGCTCGCCACACCTGGCGCTCCAGCTAGCTCCCTGCAGCCTTTCCTTCTGCCCTCCTCCCTCCCTTGTCTGCAGCCTCCCTCTCTTCATCCCGGCTCCCTTCAGGGGACTTTGTTTTCACCTTTTTCTCTTAGATTCTCTAGAAAAGAGTAGCTGTAGGTAGGGAATGGGGGTAGGTTTGCACCTTGATTAAAATAGAAGGTGCATTTCTACGTGCAGTGACCCGGCAGAAGGAAACGTGCTGGAAAATGATTTTTGCCACCCCCATGCAGCCGCAGGTGACTGCAGCTGCTGGCAAGCTTGGCGGTGACACAGCAGCGGCAGTGCAGAGGACATGGGGGCTGGGGAAATATTACTGTTGTCCCAGCAGGAGCTGCGGCAGTGACAACTTAGGTGGGACCTTGAGAGAGCCCTTTGTTTTTTCCTTTGGGGGTGGTGGTGTGGCGATAAGGTTGAGCATGGAGAAAAGGAACGAGGAATTGTATGTCTGGGTAATAGTCTGGGGGAGTGAGAGGTTTCATTTCATATATATATATATATAATTTTTTTTCTCTTTAAAGAGAAACTTGTTAGAAACAAGTGAGCAGAAAATCAATGGAGGAAATGGTAATGCAGAATAATAAAAAAGTGAGCGTTGGTCCTGATCCGCTATTTTACTTGGCACAAGGAAACCTGAGTGGACTGACCACTTGACTTTGTGGAAAGATGGCTTGCTTCTCTGTTGCTATGCCTTTTGGCCTGGAGTGGTGGTGGCTCTGAAAGGCCAAACTCATCAGGACCCTAGATAAGTATGACCTGGGGTTTCCTCTTCAATATCTCACTAAGGGAAAGACTTCCTATGTAAGGTGTTATTTTCTGGATGGGTTTAGATTCTTGAAAAACTGGAGTTGTAAACTCCCCTTTAGTCAGTCATTTCCTAAGGAAACTCTGAGATCTGCTCAAGTTGCCACAGACTCAGACCTACTCTGTCCCTAGCTTTGAGATGATTGATTTGGCAGCCCTGGTGTGGGATTCTCTGGGTGAGCGGGGAGCTCTGTAGGGAGGGGGGTTAATCTATTTTCGAAAGCTTCATGTCATGCCTCTCTCCACAGCTTGCATACATTCTTGTCCTCTAAAGAATGCAGCTCTGTTAAGTGTTGGGGGCTTTTAGGCTAGAGGGTTGTTTAGCATGGGCCAGAGTGGAGCAGCTTCTGCCTGTCCTCCCATTTGCCATGGCTGGCCTTATTATGGAGGCTCACTTGGAGGTGAGGCTCAGTGCAGAGGGGCTTTTGGGAGCTGGCCAGCTTTGGGTTAATGGTCCATTTGAACAGAGCTCTGGGCTGACCACTAATACCTAGCAAGTCCGGAGCAAGGATGAAGTCTGGTGTGGTCATTTTCCTAAAGGGGTCCCAGAAACTGTCCTGGCCTCTTGTGGACCAGAGATGACCTCAGACCCCATCAGACCCCCTCGAGCCCAGTGAACACATCCTCAAAGGAACTCTTGGTTGCTATGAAAGAGAAGAGGCAAATGCCACTAGCCACTGACCCTGTGCTTCCCCTGTCACTTCGTCACTACCCATGACTATGGCCCTTTTGAACTGAGGATGTCTTGGTTATGTCTGCAGAAGAGGAGAGACAGCCCACCATGGCACGCATGTGAGGGTCACAGTTTTAACATTAGGCACAATTCCACCATTCTCTCCCTCCCTCTCTTCCAGTTGTCTTTCTTTTCTTCCTTGCTCTTCCCTTCTTAATATTCCTCTCCTGTTGCTCATTAAACATTGAAATGTTTCTACACAGATGCCTCCTCCTGGGTTGCTATGGCTCCATCAGGCCTCTGTACTGCACATTCACGCAAACAGATAACCTGGGGAGTGGGCTGTACTCAAGTGAGTATGGTTGGAAGCACTTGCTTGGCTTAGGCCCAGAGAGAGGTTGGTTGACTTGGTGGAGGTTATGGAGTTTCTTGTGGGCAAGATGGTACCAGGAATGTTAAGGATTCCAACCTGGGCGTTGGGGATCTTGTTGCCAGGCTTGCCAGGTCTTTCTGACCTTACAACATTGGTGTTCTCCCTGTGTGTGCGGGAATGCTGTGACTCACACATTCAAGTGTTCTGCTTGCCCTTGGATCACTGAGGTGACCTCAAAAAGGCTGGGCTGTTCTTTTGAGGTCTCTGATTTCCAAGGAGCTACAGAGATATGGATGGTGGTGAGAGATGATGAAATCTTTTCCACCTGGGGTCACTACATAGGTAGTTCCTTTTCATAGGGAGAGCCCCTCAGAAACTTGTTTCACTTTCAGGAGGCCCCCTCTGACTCCTCTTCCTAAGCCTATGTCACCGTACCCTAAGCATCTCTTCTCACTGCCTTTATCACATTGTTTTATTTATCTATTTGTCTTTCCTTCCACTAGATGGTAAGTACTTTGAGGATATAGGGCTTTGGCTATATCTTATTCATCTTTGTATATTTAACAAATGGCATGTTTCTTGGCTTATAATGGTCACGCAATAATAGTTTGTTGTTCAAATAAGTCAGTGCATATGAATTAACAGCTATCTTGTTGTTGCCAGAAAAAGAAACAAGACAGGTATTTAATACTTTCATTTCTGAAATATATAATAACAATTTCAGTACTTAGATGTTAACTCTGTGCACATAAACAATTTGGTAAATAGTCCACATACATAACAGATGCCCACCTTCCCAAACTCGGCATGATGAGAGAGCACAGTCCCAGGAACGTACCTGCTCTTTGTTTTCTCTGCCTGCTCACTGGGTCTGTGGAGTCTGATCTGGGTAACATCTAGTCACTAGTAAAGGAATGAACATATAAACATGGTACAGAAATCACAGACACAGTGAAAAAAAGGTAAAAACAATGATAAAAGTACATAATCAGTAAGGATCCAGGCTTTGGTGTCTCATTGCTTGGGGGCAAGTTGTTTAACGTTTTAAAACCTCAGTGTCCCCATTTGTGAGCTGGAGATGGACATATTGTAATGCTGAGCGTTGTTCTGAGGATTGAGTGAAAGAAGGCCTCTCGTTTGGCACAGACTAAATGCTCAAGTGTTCAAGCTATTAGGATTGTCATTGTTGTGGTTTATTGATAGTCTTCTTGCTGTTCTGAAGACAAGCTAGTCAGATGGTTTTGTAGGATCACAGGCCCCTGTTGTTTTGGGGCCTGATGGGCGATGATGATGATGAATATTCATGATTAGTTCTTCAAGCTGCCTTCTGGTTAGGGAAAACCAAGAGGTCATCAAAGACCGTGTCCGGAGATGCAAGTGTCTTTTAGTTTTGTGATTAAACTCTTCCCCCTTGACATGGGATATTAAAGTGGTCAGACCTCAATGGGGGCAAAATATGTCCTGTCATTCATTTTATAAGGAAAATTGGACATTGATGAATTCCTTACACTGATTTCAGGATCACTATGACTTATATTGTGGTGTGTTTTCAGGTAGCTAAGAAGAGGTTCATATGCATATGGCTCCTAATGGTAATAAAATGCCACAATGTAAGTTATTTTTTAATTGTAAGAATTGGAAATAGTACAGTGAAATGAAATAATTGCATCAATAAGGGAGGGCATCTCATGTGAAATGATTCTCATGGAGATATCTCCTTATCTATCTTTCCATTTGCTTTGTGAGGTAGGGAAGGCTAGTAATAAACTAGCTGCTTTTATTTTTTTTAATTTTTACTTTTTAAAAAGATTTTATTTATTTATTTAGAGAGGGAGAGCGTGCATGTGCAAGAGAGCATGAACAGAAGGGAGGGGCAGAGGGAGAGGGAGAAGCAGACTCCCCGCTGAGCTGGGATCCTAACCTGGGGCTGGATCCCAAGACCCTGGGATCATGCCCCAAGCCAAAGGCAGATGCTCAACCAACTGAGCCACCCAGGTGCCCCAAACTAGCTGCTTTTAGATACATCTTCCAATACAGAGTCACAGATTATCAGATCCAAAATGCAATTTGTAATTTCTCTTTATATTTTTTCCATATGCTATTTCCCATTTTATGAAAATAGTTTCACATGTGAATATATGTGATATTCTATAAAATGTAAACATAAGATATTTGTTACATTTTGTGCTTACCAAAGAATTAAGAATACCCCTTTATAAGAAATCTCTCTTTTTTTACGTCACCTTGAAACCCTTTGCTTCATCAGATTTATGTAGTGCATGTCTTCTTCCGATTGCTACAGAGTATTTTGTGAAAGTTGCAAAATTAATTGTTTAAAAATCCATGTAAGTGCTTTTTTATTAGTCACATGAGACTGCCTATAGCATACTGTTATCCTTAATTTTTTTTTTCTTTCTAAACTCTTAAATATAAGTGAATTTTTCAATATTTGAAAGTATTTTTAAAACAAGAAGTTAGTATTTGGTACATGTTAACTCAAGGTCTACGTAAAGTGTAGCACTTTACAACAAACTTGAGCAAATGGCTAAGTGCAAGAAATGCTAGCATCATCCCAAATATACAGTGGGGTAATCATCTTAAAATGACACTATGGTTAGGGAAATTTAAACTGCTGTTAAATGGCCATAAAATTCTGGATTTATACCCAGCTTAGGTGCTATTATTCTTAGTGAGGTAAGCAAGGGGAAAGAAGAGGGGGAAAAAGAAAATCATTGTGTTAGTTTGATTTTAAGATATAGTCTTCCATGCCTATTTTAAATCAAGAGCACTTTTGGTATCAGTATTCCCCGCCCCCCCCCCGAATATTATGTTATCTTAATTGCTTAACTAGCTCTTTGAGGTTAGATAAGTACAGCAAAAATCAATACTTTGTTCAAGCAGAAATATTTGGGATGTGTGTAAGCTATTTTCATTTTCCAGATGGAGCTTAATAAAGTTATATGATAAATTTATCTTGGTTTATTTTTCCATATAAACCAATCAGGTCTTTGGTTAATACCTGGCATTCTTGTTTTAAGGGACAGAAGACCATTCTCTCATTAGAATATTTTCCAATATATGCCCATACACAAATACTTGTTTTTTTTCCTTAAGTTGTACTCTTATTAGGTTAATTAGAAATGCATTTTAGTTTATCTGTCATATTGCTTCTTAGGGTATCTGTAAATCCTAGCTTTTTCATTTTTAAAATGTTTTGTTATATGTTGTGTTGGTAAGTACTTTTGTATCATTATTATAGAGTTTAGCTGAAAAATCAGTTCTTTTAGGAAGTGGTTTTAAGAGGAGAAACTTCTTTAATGAGTGTGAGATTATCCAAGTTGGGAATTGGGCTCAGTGTCCTCTCAAAAAGTCCTAGGGATGCTGAGACTAAAGAATTGCTCTGTGCTCTGACCTGTCTTTTGCCCTCTGCCATTTGTCTCACAGGCATTCTGGAATTTATCAGTATAGCAGTGGGCCTGGTCAGCATTCGAGGCGTGGACAGTGGACTCTACCTCGGGATGAATGAGAAGGGGGAGCTATATGGATCAGTAAGTACCGGGAGAGTCTTTGCCAATCTTTAGCCTCACATTTGATTTGAACTGCATTTTCTCTAGATTATAAATATCTAGAAATGAAACTGAGTTTGTTTGGAGAGAGTTTAAGTTTTTGCTTTTTGAGAAAAACCATTTTGTTTTTATTTATAGATATCAGCCCTGGATCTTCACTAGATCAGAGTTTCTGAAAAAATGCTTTATTTATGTGCCAAACAATTTTCATTATCAAGTAAATAAAAAACTCACAAGTGTGAAAAATCCCATCTTCTTGTATTAAATGGAAGTTATTTTTGAAATGAATTGAAATTATCTTCTAAGCTTTGTAAAGCAGTGTAATTAAAACTAGAAATAGACCACCATGCAGTGAGTATAAACCCTTTCTCTGAGCTACATAAGACCTTGATTATGTAGAGAGAAGAGGGAGATGGAAATTATTGTCAGATATTCTTGTATGTGAATAAGAATATAAAAATATTATAATTATTTGCAAGTATTGTGTCTTTCTTTCTTTCTTTTTCTTTTGCGTGTCTCACTTCCCATCTCTATTGGGTTGTAAGCAACTTGAAGGAGGCAGTGAAGAAGTGTTTATTATAGCCTAGCAGGTGCCAGGTGCTTTTCCATGTGCTCAGGGAGAGCAGTGAATGAGACAGAGTTCCTTCTTCTGCTTTGAGAGAAGGGTACTGACTTTACATCTTTGTTATCTCTACTTGTGCTGGGTTTCTAAAACACAGTGCATGTTAGACAGTAGGAACTTGATACATTTTTGCTAAATGTATGCCTATGAATCATAGATTATTAGTTACTATAGACTAACTTGAGTTTTCAACAAAAGGCTCCTAGTGAAATCAAACTTTAGTTTTTCCTTGCCAATATTGGTAGCCAAATGAGAATTTAATCCATGTTCTCTCTACATAGAGAACTTTGATAGAATCTATAAAAAATTGAATATTAAAAGAAAATGCAGACTTGGAGACAGAAATAAAGGGCATTTCATATATAGTTAGGAGAGACATTTTCTAGATCTACTCCTTTGCTATCCACATGTTAGTAAATATATATATGTGTGTACACACACACACACACAAGGGTTGGAATAGTATAAAATTTTTACTCAAACACTCCATATGACAAAAAATGGCCTATGTAATTTGAATATAAAACACACCATTTTTAATGGTGTAAGAATGGTTTTTCTGCCTTGGTAAAATTTGAATCTAGATTGGTTGATTTGTTAGTCTTTTTAGAAAAAGTGTTTCATTGAGATAATAGATTATTTTAAAATATGTTTTTAAGTGTAAGATTTGGTTTAGCATTTTAAACACAGTTTGTGGTTTATAAAAGTTATTTATTGCCTAAATTATCTTTGTCAGAACTTTTAAGTGCAAAGATAGAAGCTATATTATTATTATTATTAAAGAGGGAGGAGGAAGAGGTAGAGGGAGAGGGAGAGATCTTTTTTTTTTTTTTTTAAAGATTTTATTTATTTATTTGCCAGAGAGAGAGAGCACAAACAGAGGAAATGACAGGCAGAGGGAGAGAAAGAAGCAGGCTCCCGCCGAGCAGAGAGCCAGATGCGGGACTCAATCCCAGGACCCCGGGACCACGACCTTAGCCGAAGGCAGAGGCTCAACCCTCTGAGCCACCCAGGCTCCCTGAGAGGGAGAGATCTTAAGCAGGCTCCACACCTAGCACGGAGCCCAACCTCACGACCCTGAGATCATGACCTGAGCTGAAATCATGAGTCAGATGCTTAACTGTCAGTTAAGGGCACCCCCTAGGTGCCCTGGCTTTCACACTTTGAAAACATTAAATGTTCTCCTTTTGTCACCCCCTCAATTTTTTTCAGTTTTAGGTATATGGAGATTTAATTTATGGATTAAATTAAGTTGGTCACAGTTGAATTTGATAAACTGCTTCTAGTATGTAGGGTACAATCCAACCTTTAGTGGCTGGAAAGTTCCATGGTTTCTCATCATGGTCTGCAGACTCTTTTGATCACATGCCACCACCAAAACAATTTTTTTGAGTATGAATCTCAACACTGTATATTAAATTACTTAAAGATTCTACATATAAAATATAGTTCATAGAAATTATTTTACTTTATAAAACTCATATTAGGGTAAACATTTTAAAAGGTAACAAATGAGTAAACACAGAGGCCATTTTTATTCCCCACCCCATGGGCCACCTTGTATGTCCCTGCAGAGTACTCTCCCCCCAGAGAGAGAGGACCAGGCTTTCAGATAAAATTGCCAACATGACAGCCTCCCGCAGTTTATTGGTTGACAGGGAGAGCAGTGGAACTTTTATTCAGCACAGTGGCGTCTATGTTTGTTGTCCAGCCAAGCCTCATCTCCCTGTCTGGACTCTTCCCATGGCTTCTTGCTCATCTCTTCTCTCCTCTGGCTGCCCTCCTGCCTTTGTGTGCCCCCGTCTGCAGCACAGGCTGAGGAAAGAGTGCAGGCTCTAGAAGGTAACCTGAATGTAGACCCAGTGAATATCAGTGAGGGTACTGCCTGAAGTGATGGCCAGGTGGCAGAGTTGGGAGAACATCTTGGCATGTTTTCTGGGAAGCCCAACTGCCTCATGTAGGGCTTTTTGAGCACACACAGAGTGTGTGGCTGGGAGGACGTGTCCCTCCTCCACTGCTACATGTCTGCAAACCCACATGGCTCGCTGATGACCTGATCATGGAACCCCAGCTAGGCAAAGGGACGAGTCTAAGAAAAGTCCTCCATTTCTTCCTGTGCTTGAGAAATACTCTTTACTCATGTAAAGAGTATATTCAGGCTTGGAAACTGCTCGGAAGAAAGTGTAATAAGGAGGGCTTTTGCAAATTGTGATTTCCTTTGTGGAAGAGTTATCTCCGCATATGGCTTCTCTGCATCCAGCTTCTCCCTTCTCCAGTCCATTCTCCACACTCATGGGAGAATTACCTTTCCAAACTCACATATGAGTGTCACTTCTCAGTGCAGATCCCTTCAAGTGCTTGCCTTTGAGGGCGAATGCCTGAGAACTTTAGCCTAGCATTCAGTACTTTTCACCAGCCACTTTGCCTGCTTCTGCACATGATAGGTGCTCAATAAACACTTGTTGGATTAAAATGAGCTAAGCATTGTGACTTTTTCTGATGCTTCATGAAACACATGGATGTGGATCTCACTGGATCTGCTTGTGTCTTCAGGGGTACTGAGAACTCCGCTGGAAGGGAGAATCTGCCTCTTCCATTCCCATGCTGAGTTGGACTGTGATTATGCCATTGGTGGTGTGTCCCACCCAAGGGGGCTGGGGCTGGGTCTGGGGCTGGAAAGAGATAGTGTAGGGGCGGATGCATGACTACAGGTCAGGAGACTTGAGCTCTTGCTCTGTCTCTGCCACTAGTGAGGTGCTGGGCCCTGATTCTCCTCATCTCTGAGATGAGTAGCTTGACTTCGAGGTCTGGAGTGTCTTTTCCTACTCTGGATCTCAGGAATTCATGCTTTGGATTTTTTAGGCTTTCCTCCTGAGTCTTGTCTGCCTCATGCATGATATTTTCTATGTACACAAAATGTTTACGGAGGAAGATCTTTTTGCTTCTTGTGTACAGAGCTGGGAAGAAAGCTTTCCGGGCAGCCAGATGGTTTTCCTTTTGCATGTACCTAAGGCAGGAAAGGGGATTGAAGGTGAGATCTGTGCTCCCCTATGGCTAAAAATCACATTTTCCATCCGGTTTGTGGTTATCGTATTTGGTGTGGCAGTAGACATGAGGAGTGACCAAAACATTATATTTTCAATGTGATGAGACTGGGAGGAGGAAAGAAAAGAAACAGGTGACGATTCTGTTATTAATTACAACTGACCCTCTAACAACATGTATTTGAATTGTGTGGGCCCACTTCCAGGCAGGGTTTTTCTTTTTTTCCAATAAATACAGTACAGTACTGTAAGTGTATTTTCTATTCCTTGTGATTTTCTTAACATTGTTTTTTCTCTTAGCTAGCTTTATTGTTAAGACTATAGTATGTAACCCATATAGCATACACAATATGTGTTAATCATCTATGTTGTTGGGAAGGTTTCTAGGTAACAGTAGACTATTAATAGCTCAGTTTGGGGGCAGTCAAAAGTTCTATACAGATTTTTGACTGTGCAAGGGGTCAGTGCCCCTAATCCCTGTGCTGTTCAAGGGTCAACTGTACACTAAAAATTGTAGCTTAAAGAATTTTTATCTATATGAAGTTGCATAAAGCTCAATAAACTAAAGTGGAGAAGTTTCTAAACATTGGGAAAACCTTGAGAAAAACTTATCTTACTATGAAAGAAGGTAAATAGGAGATCTGGGGAAATAGCAAATTTCCCCTCAAAAGGTAAAGCAAAATATAGCAAATATTAATTTAAAATGTATTCTGGGATAAATTTTCTCTTTTCATGTACGTAATTTTTTGTTTACAAGTTTATGTTAGGAATGTATCTAAAAGGCCAGAGGTGAATGGGGTCATATTTCTTCAGAAAAATGCATGGAATTCTGGTACCCTGTTAGAATGCGGCAATAGGAAAAACATTATTGCTAACGCGTATCATGATACGGTTGAAGGACAACCTGAAAAATTGTGGCTCTGGATGGGGTTCAGTTCTCACATTCATGTGTTAATTCACCCATGCATCAATTCCTTCATTTGCTCATTCATTCACAAACATTTATACCCACTATGTGCCTAGCACTGTGCTGAGTGCTTAACAGTGCAACAAAGATCTCGAAATTTGGTAGGAGAAATATATTTATAAATAATTCAGTGCAATGTGAAGTGTACTACATTAGAGAAACACACAAATATCTTGGGGTCAAAACTGTGTTTAAATAACTGCTCGAGGAAATTGGGTGGTAATATTTAAGCTGGATCTTGAGGGATGAGTAGGAGTCTCAGAAAAGGTAGGGCAGACAAGTTCAGGCTCATGAGCTTTCAAATGTAAAGATTAGAATATCCTGCCTGAGTCATAGAGAGGGTATTAGA